GCAGGTTTTGCTTTTATGAGCATAATCTAAAGTTTCCTTGGTCAGAGGACAATCACTGTTTATTTGCCTCTTTCTTATTGAAGCCCTGTGAATCTTCTAGAATAGAAAAATTTATGCAGAGGAGTAGAGTTACTGAGAGCGCTATATTTAGTAGGTACTTTAAAAATTCCGCAACCTCTGAATTATAATATCAGCAGTTGAAGATAGAAAGCTTAGATTTCTATATTTATTATATTGTTTTATATGTAGTCTCTCCTGAAAAGAAAGGGAATAGAAAATAGAGAATAAGGAAACCAAGGCTGATGTAAAATTCCCCTATGTTCTATTCTTGGATGCCAGAAAACACATATCATCTTTGTATTTCTTTCATGCCTTGGGAAAAGAGTATTCTGGGAGTTATTAGAGAACAGAATTGGTTTCTGTCACTTCCTGACAATGATATGGCTACCCTGAAAATATTTCCCCCCTAAGAATAGCCCTGCCTATTGCTGTTATTACATCCAAATAGCTGCTCTGTTTCCATTATTTCTATTCCTGGAAGCCTGCACAAGTAGGTAAGCTACATGCAGTGAAGAATTTCTGAGTCTCTTTTGTCTCTTTTTTGCTGCTGTTTATTTCTGTGTTCCTTATTTTCACTGCTATAACCTGTGCTCCTTTCAAGGTATAATTCCTTGAAAGTGAGACATCAGGCAGCCCACAGCAAATCAGACATAGAGGTTGAGAACGACTGTTATGGGTGATAGAAAACAAAGAGAGGGTAGAGGAAGCCCTGAAGTACTTTTCATTTGTATCTCCTGCATATACAAGTGCCTTTCCAGTCCTGGGAATTAGGGAGCAATATAGATTGGATAGCAAGATAAGCTACACGTATTACAGTGAAAGTGTGGTAATGTGCTGACAAAAAGAAAGTACATGAATGCAATTCCTGCTTTAGAAGAACCCTGATCAGGATGTGTTCTGTTGGGTTTGCTTTGTGTTTTGACCCCAGCTGCTTTTTGGGAGCTCTGTTCTCCACTTACTGTTTCTGAAACTACCCTAATAACATGAATGTCAAGAAGAAAATGAGGTGCCTGCATAGAAAATGATAGTGTTTACTTTAGAATGACTGTTCTTTTTGAGCTTAGATTTATCATCTAGCTACCGATGATAGTTTTAAGCTGTATGGACTATTAAAAGGAAGTTAAATGGTTTCCACGAAGGTTTGAGTCTGTCTTCCTCACTACTTTTTTCTAGTTCCGGGATTATTGTGTCATCTGCTTACGGTGGGAGTGGCCTGGATCTCCAAGATCTTTGGAAAAGTGCAATTTAGAAGCATCATTTTTTGAAGGACACTTCTTGAAAGTCCTGTTTGAAAGAATGGGCAGAATTCTTGATCAGGTAAGAAAAAATAGATTATGAATTCCGTTTCTTATGCTTTCATCACTACTAAAGGCCTAATCTCCGTAAGGTCCCGTGTATTCTCATCACTCAGATTTCTTACAGCATCATATTATTGTATGATGTTGTCCTTGGTGCAGGTCTCTGTAAATTGCAGAATGTGATAGTGATCACTATTATCAATTTAACAAAAGTAGGGAACAAAAACTCTTCTTATCTTTGTTAGCCGCTTTTTTCTGTACCAAATGTTTTCTTGACCAGAAATATCATTTAAATGGATGAGTTAAGAAAAGAATATCCTTAAGATAAAATATTAGTGTAAGATAGCCTCTGCTATGAAGACAGGCTGAGAGAGTTGGGGCTGTTCAGCCTGGAGAAGAGAAGGCTCTGGAGTGATCTTATAGCAGTCTTCCAGTACTTAAAAGGGGGCCTACAGGAAAGCCGGAGACGGACTTTTTCCAAGGGCATGTAGTGACAGGACAAGGGGCAATGGCTTTAAACTGAAAGAGGGCAGATTTAGATTAGATCTAAGGAAGAAATTTTTTACAATGAGCCTAGTGAGGCACTGGAACAGGTTGCCCAGAGAAGTTGTAGATGCCCCATCCCTGGAAGTGTTCAAGGCCAGGTGGGATGAGGTTTTGGGCAATCTGGTGTAGTGGAGGGGTTCCCTGTCCATGGCAGGGGGGTTGGAACTAGATGATCTTTGAAGTCCCTTCCAACCCCAACCATTCTATGATTCTATGATAGTATCTTAGGGCGTCCTTTGGTACTAGCATCACTGGTTCTGTTTTCATTTTCTAGCATTTACACTTAGAAACCATGTACATTTTTAAGTAAATAAAATACTATACAGCTCCTTTCTGCCACATTTCAGTGAACTTCAATGTGAAGTTTTGTTCAGGAAGCAGTTTACATCACTGTATAAGGTGAAAGAAACTTACTGTATAACTGCTAACGTTTTCCCCATTTTTTCACATTTAGAAAAAACTGTTGTCAGTGCATGGAAATTTTCTAGAAAGTATCCTTTTCCATCTGCAATGTAAAGTAGTTTTTTTTCCTGTTTGATTATCTTCAAATAATAAAAGTATAGCTGCCAAGGGCAAACACATGAGATATCATCTGACTGGCTCCTTGTCTTGAAAAGGAAGTGCAACATGTCAGGCTCAGATTTGCACAAAGGAATTTAAAGAAAGTGAATTTTCTGGATGAGTATTTGTTTCTGTGTTTAGTCAGTCTGCATGACCTAGTCTTTCTGAGGAGAAGTGAGGCCAAGGCTCAGGGAAATGAGGTTGCCCTGTGTGAAAACTCGATGTTTCTTTGCCTTCTCTGAACTCTGGACTTAAGTTAGTCAAGTCAACCGTGCTGCTTTAGGTCGAGAAGACAACTTTTCTTGCCGGTGAAAACGAGCCCTGAGATTACCCTTCCTGTAGTACCAGCTGGAGTTGCTACAAATGTGGTAGTACCAGTTTCAGAAGTTTGTACAACTCTCTTCTATTTTGCATGGGGAGCTATCTACAGATTAAACAATTAGCTGTGATAGTGCCAGTTTTCCTTGTCATAAGCAGGACGAGCCATTTGAACATGTAAACGCATAGGAAACATGGCAGAAACATTTGCTTCCAGTAAATGTGTTCTGCACACTTCAGTAGTTGACATGGCTATAGATTGGAGTTATGAAGAAACCTGGGCATCATCAGCTCTTAGGAAAAACAAGAATGATGGGTATGAAAACCTTGTCTGAGCAATGGTACATAAATTATAAAAAGTAAAGAACCCAAGTTACATGCCCTGAGAAGCACCTGAGTGTCAGATACGTACAATTACAACAAAAGTAGCATCTGGCATGAAAGCACAGTGCCCATTTTGATATACTACCTGTCAGCATGACGCACATTTGGGTTAATAGAGCAAAGTGTTACAATCTGCGGTGTCAAAAATAGGTCTTGACTCCAACAGAATTAAAGTGAATTGTCTCAATCAGACAGCAGGGTTAAATTCTTATTGTACTAAAATCCTGTCCTAAAAAACAAACTGTACTTCCTAGGGGTTATTCACAGTGAAACACATAAATCACATAGAGAAGAAAACAAAACCCAAACCAACAAAACCTGGGTCCTGTCAATGATAAATTTGACATAATGGGTGCTGATATCCACACAAAGTGGAAAATGTTGAAAAGTCTTTAGTGGGGACACAGTACTACTTAGGTTTTGTTCAATGCCTTTTTTGCTTTGTCACAATACTAGAGGTAGTTCTTCTGTTTTTATCAGTAGATAACAGAAAACTTTGCAGAAGTGGTAGGTATCATTAACCTAGTTTCTGATAGAAGATAGCTGAGGAACACAAGTGAAGTAATTTGTTTCAAGGCTGTTCAAATCCAGCACCTTATCTGCTAGATAGTACCTCCGTCCTCCTCTTGATATTATACATTTCTATGGAACTGACTGTTTCCTAAGAATTTTGTAAGATTTTTCTGAACTGCAAATTTTGCTGGTTTTAACCTTTTTAGTTATAGAGAAATGTTTTAGGATGTTATCTGATACAAGGCTGTCTTACTGAGTGTGCTGACACATGGACAGAAATAAAAGCTCTGCATGAAGAAGCAGTTTTCCTTAATGCTCTCAATTAGTTCAAATCGCAACAGCAATCTGTCTGAACAATGCAGCACGTGTTACTACTTTGTTTCCTTCTCTTCTTGTGAACACCAGATAATGCTCATGACTTCAAAGCTTCCTAATGAATTGACTGACTCAGACAACTCTAAAGACCTTCTGCTACAGTTCAGCTAGGTAGACAGTAGAATGGATTTATGGAGGAGATTTGTGTGTCTGTCTGCAGAGTAACTTTTCCACAATAACTCAAAATGTAGTGATCTCTTTTACCTATAACATCTCTGGTCCAGGGTCTGAAAGCTTCATTTGTTAGAAGGTTGGGATGAATCTATTGCTGGAATATCAAGTACAGAAATAACTGCTACTGACTGGGAGAAATAGGTGCTTTCGCTTCAAAAGATCTGTAAGACAACTCCCTTTGCAGTGCAACAGTGTGTGGTAACGAATTCAGGAATAAGGTACCTAAAGTCAGTGGAAATTTTGTCAGAACAGCCCCAGTAGTCTCTGGAGCTGTTAGACTGAAAAGCCAGTAGGTATCTGTTGTAGTGTGAAGTGAATCACCATCTCAGCCTCCTTGACTGTACTGACTGAAAGCTCAACTCAGTGGCCTGAAGTGAGGTATCGGTTGCCGTTTTTGTGATGCCCAAGATATTCCCACAAGCTTGCAGTTACAACACAGATCTTGCAGGATCCACCCTCTGTGGGACCGTCAAGAGACCAGCAGATACTCCTGAGCATCTGAGATGGCACGAGATGTTTGCATGTAGGCAAGTGTATCGAGTGTCACATCTCTGTTGAGTAGGCTAATGCAAGCTTAGACATACAGACACATCTAAATATATATCTGTCTTAATCTGAAGCTGGATTCTTCCAAATCTTACAGTCTAGAAAAAGAAAGAATCTGTTCTCCGATTCTTCAGTGGGATGCTAATTTGAGAACATAAAGATGATGATTTCAGGCCATGAAATCATCCTCTTCTCCATGTGTTTACACCACTGAGGATGTTACTGCCGATCGGCAGTCAAAGGGATTGAATGAGGGCCCTGTAACCCACGTCAGGTAAGACCAACAAGGTTAAGTTAAACCATCTGAGTGCTGGTAACATCTTCATACTGGCATAGGTGTGTACCAAGGGAATGTCTGTCCATCTTTTATCAACGTAGGCTGTTCCACTACTGAATAGATGGAAGAAAATTCCACTAGTTTGCAAATTTTGCGATGAATTAAAATGTCAGTTTGTTTTCACTGTGACGAGAAAAATCAAAGATGTAGAAAAAGTACTTGGAACATAAAGAAGCTGTAGTGAAAATACTTGCTTTATGGAAATGAGTTTCTCCCTGGAAGTGTAAAATCCTTTAAGCTAGTGACTATTTTTTTCCTAGAAAGTTAGGTACTGCTTTTTTCCTTATGACCAATTAGCATCTTTCAGCATATGACAGTGTTGCCTCTCCCATTTGGTTGATTTGGAGAAGGAAGGTAGAGAAGAAGCTCAGAATTTCGTGCTGCTTTCCCAGCCTAGGACTGTCTCATTTCCCGTAGCATGCTACCACAAGATGACCAGGCCTTCTGCAATGATTCTTTCAACAAAAAAGAAAGTAGAATAAGAGAAACATCATATTAGCCATAGATGTGGACTTGTCTCTCAATTTCCTGAGCTCATACACTTTACAGTTACCCAGAAGAAGCAAGCAGATGTTTAATCTAGACTAATTCTATGCTATTTGTTTTGCTGCTGAGCTGAAGAAATGTTTTACAAGAAGAGGACTTATCCTACAATAAACAAGTGTGCAAAAGCTTCGAGTGGTTGTAGCAGTTATACAGATAATAACATCTAATACCTAACTGTCATATTTGCATCACTCCTGTTGTAGAAAGCACAGGTTTTGGGCTTGTCTTCTAGTCTAACTTTTTATTTATTCATAACCTTGTATATAAGGTGCTAGTAGTTAAATAAACACTGGCTGGATGAAAAGAAGCCAGCATGAAAATCAGTAAGCACTGTGTTTTCTTTTTTTTTGCAGCCCTACGATGTAAATTTACAAGTTACGTCAGTGTTGTCCAAACTGTCCTTGTTTCCTCATCCTCATATACATGAATACCTTTTGGATCCTTACATAAACCTGGCTTCTGGCTGCAGGTCTCTCTTCTCTGTTATTGTCAGGGTGAGTAAACACACAGTTAATATTTACATATGGCTATACAGCAGTGATATATTTAGTAATTTTGTAGTTAGTGGTAGTAGTTGCTGGCTAGTTTAAGTTGGCAAATGGCTTCTCACTGAAGATAGATTCTTATGCTCTTGATTTGAAAATCAGAATTATAGATTTCCCACCAAAAACATTGGAAAATGTGTTTCCCAGCATTTATTTTCATTCTGCATGTCTTGAAAATTGTTTGCTTAATTTCACTGTGTAGATGCAAAATATCCCCTCTGGCAATGGCATTGCTTTAAACTGGGCTAGGTCGCATTGTTGTCACTTGCAGGCAACATCAGGAAGTGCCGTAAGAACAGGCCAAGTGCAGGTTTGCACCTGGATGGGAAGGAGATAGCTTTGATTCACACACAAGCAAAGGACACTCCTGAGTACCCTGTGCCTGAATGAATATCTCTGCTCATCTTTTTTTTCCTGATCAAGGCTGTTCTTGACCATGAAGTCTTGGATTTCTTGCAAGTCGCCTTCCTTTCCCTCTCTGATTCCATCTTTTCCTGCCAGACCTGCATCCTAGAAGTGCTGGCTGAGTGCCTGTCACACTGCAGTCTTCTCAGTCCGAGATCCCTTGCCTACCCCACGCACCAGCTGTTATTAAGCTGATCAGGAGCCTATTAGTGATGCTTGCCCAGTACTAACGGAGGGCTTAGCTCCCTTTTTTCCCAGCAGCCTTTCCCGTTTCAAAATATAATCTTCACTCTCTCGTCCTTGTGCTTTCCCTAAACCCAGGATTTTACTGGTCAATTGCCTAAGACAAATTAATCATTGACATAATTAGGTAACACCGTTTGTGGCAACAGCAAGTAAGGCTCAAGAGTTCCTGTCCTTTTGTATCTCTCTGCTCTCTGCACCCTCTCACCCTTTTTGGGGGACAGAGCAGATACTCGGCTTGTTTTTTTGTGAGCCTGTGAGGATGCTGAAGCATCCTGGGCACTGGAGGCTGTCATTGAACCTTGTTGCGAGGCACTCTGCAAAGGTGTTAATTTTGTGTGGTGATGGCGTTGTGCTCTACAGGTCGTTGGGGACCTCATGGTTAGAATCCAGCGCATCCCAGATTTCACTCCCAAACTTCTGCTGGTCAGAAAACGCCTGCTGGGCTTGGAGCCCGAAGGGCCCATGTGAGTAAATATATTGCATATTCTCCAAGACCCACGGCTGGTTTTCGTCTGTGCCGGTCCTGATTCTGTGCTGATTTTTTTTCTCTTTCTCAGCATTGACCACATGACGTTACTAGAGGGCGTGATTGTGCTGGAAGAATTCTGCAAAGAGCTGGCAGCGATAGCGTTTGTGAAGTATCATGCCTCGACTACACCATAAGCAGCCTTGATGAGCAGCCAGGCTGTAAAACCACCTCGCCTGTTTCGAAATGGCTGTTGACAACACCCAAACAAGAAGAGGCGGTGCCTCCTGGCACAGTGTCAGTTGACATTTGGCAGGATATGAAGACAAGTTACTTTCACCAGATGTTGACATTGCAAGAGAGGGGGATTCAAATGGACCTAGAATATGATAGAAGGCATTTTGGGAGAAACCAATACATAGCATTTCTAGGCACTGTGTGAAGAGATGCAAAAGCTGCATGAAGAACCACAGACACCAGACCTTGGTTATTCAGTTACAATTATGATGTTTAGAGAGTTGGACCTTTTGTATGTTCTGGGGCTCACATGTGCCAGTTCGCTTTTTGTGATCATATTACTTTTAAAAAGCAAACTAATTTTATAACATTTTAATGTCTTAAATCTTTTTCTTTTCAGTTGGATATGTGAAAGGAAACCACAAGTATAGTTGCAATGTATATTACTAAAAATGAAGAGAGGTTCAAGAAATCCACCAGTCCCTATACAGTGGGATATATTAATGAGGGATCATTTTTGGTTTGGTGAATCTTAAAGACAACTTTGAGCTTGATTCCTCAATGGATTACTCCAGGAGATACATCAGTATAAAATCAATACTAATGGAATTAATCCTGATTCAGCATCACATCCATAACAAATAGATCTGAAGTGTACATGTTTCTAGCATGTTTATCTCTGTCATTCCAAGTGATTGCTCTTCAGATTATCTGTGTAACTAGATTTGCTTTAGGTTTTCGCATGTGAACTCTAGTTGCTTGACTCATGTCACCTTTACAGGGAAGTTAATTATAGGTCATTAGTACTTGTTACTGAAACAGTATTTTTCATTTCTTTTAAACTGATATTTAGCCTGAATTGGTTTAGGAATCTTTTGTGCCTTGAAATTCGGCAGCATAAACATTTTCGCATTTGTAGAAACGTTTTTATTGCTCATCTAACCACAGCCGTAGTGCCCAGCAAAAGATTGACTGATGCCAATTCAGTTGAAGTGTTGATACCATATATAGGACCAAAATTTATGCCTGCTTTTCATAGTGCTGGGATGCAGAAATGTCTCTCAGTGATTTTTTTTCAGTATGGATACTATCAGCCAGGGCAGGCACTGGCATTGCAAGCAGAGGGCCATTCAGTGCTTTGCTCCTCTTTCTCTGGCTGATGGCAGCCTGCACTTCCGAAGTACTTGCTGCTCACTGCCCTGCTCACTGCCACCCACGGGCTGGCGGAGGCGGGTGGCTGTGCTTTAACCCTCCAGTCACAGGGAGCGACTTGGATGAGAGGCCTCTCCTGCTCTCCGCAAAGGTGTGCGGTACCTCTTTCCCCTCTGATGAACGTAGCGGCGTAGGCAGCAAGGTCGAGTTTAGCTCCTTGTGTTTCCTGTGTAGTTTTTCCTTTGTCTTTCCTACAGTCCTGTTTGCACAGCTAATGCCCGTGTCAGATGTGATTGCTCATACACAAATATGGACTAATTTACTCAGTCACTAGAATTTTCTGGATTTACATGACTGTACCTAGAATCAGATTCTGCTCTGAATCCATGCCTTTGAGGTCTTATTTTTTTTTTAATATTTATGGAACCTGAATGTTGAGAGGCCTTTTAAGGTAGCAGGTTAATTAGAACAGCGTCACAGTTAATGGGCTAAATTTATTCATGTCACAATAGCGAAGAGGGTCCTGCTGTAGAAGCTGCCAGTACAGGTTCAGCTTCAGAGAGCAGTTCTGGAACTGGGGAAACATTTTGGCAGGTAAAACCTGTATTCAGTGGCTCCCTATACTGGGAGGCCTTTGTACAGTGTTGCATTTATCTGGCAAACAAAAGCATGTTTTACTTTCTTGCCACCTTTTTTTTTCTGAATTTAGCCTCAAAGTGTTTTCAGGTCAAAGTAGCATACATAGTAGGATATCCAAGTTGTTAAAAGTGACACTTTTTTTTTGTTTTTGTTCCTTAGAAACATACCTTGAAAGTAGCAAATAAGTTGTAGTGATGTATTGCAGTCAGTCCATATTAGAAGCTTTATTAATGTAACATTCCTGACATATAGTTTAGAACATGTAAATGCCTATGCGGAGTGATGTTTAATACATACGTTTGTTATAAATACTGTCCCAGTTCAGCAAAGCAGTTAAACATAAGTTTAATTTCAAGAATTTTATTCCTAAATCACAATCTCTTACATGAACAAAGTTAAGCTGTTGTGCACAAATGCTGATGCTTTACTGAATTTGAACCTTTGTTGGTTTTGCTTGAGCTTAATTACTTTTTCGTCAAATTTTCTATTTACATTATTTATTTTTTTAAAAGTGTATGTTCCAGAATACTTCTAATATCCCAATTTCAGTGGAAACTGGAAGCGATAATACTACTATACTATAAATGAAAGTGAGAGAAATGTTAAATAAAACTTGCAAGAGCATTCCAAGTAATACAACAATTTTTAAAGCCGTCGAGAGATGCCTGATCTCAAATGAAAGCACCACCTCTTTTGTTGTTGTTGTTTTCAGTGATGCCTGAGCTCATTACACTGTAAGGAATTGTGTCAGTCAGCTTCTGGAAGGACTGCTGCAGCCTCAGTGGCATTTTAATGCAAAACAGTCTACCGAGCTGCAAACGTAATTCCTTCATGCTTGTCCATGAGAAAAATAAATAGATATAACTATAAACACTCTTAAATTCAGGATGTAATTGTTCAGTCTCTGGTTTTCAGGAGCACTGGTGATATTCTCACAAACCAAATGTTATGTAGTTAATAAATTTATAAGACATTGCTCCATCTTGATAGAAGTAAAGCAATCCTCGAAGTTGCTTTAGCCTAAACTGCTTTTGTGAGTGCAAAAACCTACAAACCCTTAATTACCATACATTACTTTATTTTTGTAAAAGTGATTTAATCTTCCTTAAGAGATGGAACTCTTTTAATTATTTTTTGTGGTGATATTTTTCATGCACTTTTTGTTTTTTAGGAAAAAGGTTAGAAGTTAGTTCAGGTCCATGTTTTCACCTTTCTAATCTATGCATGTCATTGAGGTGCCCATTCTGTTTCTGTGTGCGTATGTTTCTATGTGGTTATTTATTACCCAGAGGTGGACACCTGAGAACATATATGGCCTGAAGTTCATGGCATATGCAGATCCTCCAGATGTCAGTGGGAAATGCAGGTGCTTATCACCTTAGAAAATACAGCCACTAGTATTAGATTGAAATACTTGAGAGGTAATACGAGAATAATTTTTTATTTCAAAAAAGCAGATCCAAACCACATTTTAACCCTGATGCACATGTGTGTAAATAGACCCATTTTTCCTTTTTTTCCATTTATAGTATGTATTTGATTTAGACTCCAATATAGAACATTTTGTAATAAGCCATGTGCTAGCTCTGGTAGAACAAGTTTGTCCTTAGTTTCTCATACGACTGTAATATTCCTGGTATTCGGATCCTGTCTGTGTAATGTTCTTACTATGTATTTGTCTGTGCAATATAAAAGCTGTGATTTGATACACAGCTTGAGTCTGGTTGTACATCACCTATGTATATATATACATATATATATATAAGGACCAGAAACCCAAGCTTGCTTACACTACGGTTAGTGTAAAGATTGTCACACTTGATTTTACAGGGCACAAGTAATCATGGAATGCCTTTGTAAGTGCATGGTAATTTCTACCATAACCTGCTGTGTAACTTCACAGATGACATTTTATTATTGCTATTTGTCTTGCTAAAAGATATACTAAACGGAAGCGCTAGGGTAAAATCGAAGGATTATGTAGTAGACTTGGGGATACACAGAAAATCCATATCTGATATTGCATATCATACAGGGTTTTCAAACCATGATCCTCGATAACTTCCTGTGCCCTGTAAAATAGTGTAACTATATAAAATAAATACTCCTTGTTTTGCCTCCTGCCTTGTTTACATTAAACAGAGGATATTCAGTAAAATTTTTCTATTAAACTTTGTGTAGGTCGCTTACTGACAGTGTTGCCAAAGTTTCACAGGTGTGGGATTTCCAGCGAGGAATTGCTGAAACAGCCACGTTTCCAGACATACAATATTAAGTTTTATGAAGGAGGTTGTGATAAATTCCAACTTTTTGTGCTAAAAAATGCATGGAGGATTAAAAGGGATATTCTCAAAATAAATTAATTTCAATGAAGCGACTGCTTCTATTATTACAGAATACATAATAGGTTCTGTATGGATGACCTTGAGACAGAAAATGTTTTAACATTTTACATCATGCCTTTGATCCTGAAGTCCTTTCATTTATTATATCTTGAAGTCCTTTCATTTATTTCGAGTCTGTCACTACGGCATCTTCTGGAATAAACCTGTTCTCTCTGTTCCGTACTGTACTATGCAGTGCAGGGTTCGCAGTGAATCAGCATACTCTTGCCCATGGAAATTGGAAGTGAAGGGAAACGGCCAGGATGGAGTCATCCTGAACACAGATTGACGTCTGCTCTTCCTGAGAGCCCTGGTATCTTTTAAGACTGCAGCTGGTCAAGACCTTGGTTCTCTATTGCATTTGGGTGCAGAGTGCGTCAGTCGCAACATTAGATTATCATATGGGTACAAATGTCATGTACGTGCGTCAGCAATTCTTCCTTCACGGCCTTTGACCAAGACTTTTATACATACGTTTTTATATATGTTAAAATTCTGTTTGTTGCGTGTCTTCTGAGTATCTCATTTAGTTTTGGTGTCCTTGAAGTTTTCATCAGCTTTTTAAAAATCTCTTTGCTCCGTAAGATCCCCTCTGAGGGCTACACTTGGATGTTAAGCTGTTTCTCCTTCTCAGTATTTAACAGCTGCAAGTGCTCTTGCATTTTTAACAAGAAGATTGCTACAGCAGGATGATACACTTGATAGCTTTTTTTCCAGCTCTCAGCATCTTTCCCCCATCCTCTTGGGCCTCAGAGATTGTCATCTCCCACCCCAGATCATTTACT